CCACAGGCTGGATGTCTTTAAAAGTAAATTATTACTTCACAATTTAACAGATTAAAAAGCAAATACTACACACATACAAACACACACACACAAACATGATTATTTCTGAATGAAATATCTAAATAGGTATCATATATTCCAAAAAAGAGGGTTTTTGTTTTGTTTCTATTGTGCTTTCTTTGTTTTGGACCTCATGCTTTTGTTCAGCTTGTCACTCAATGCTGCTACTCAACTACTTGAGTAACACCTCCACTTCTGGCTTTTTATTAATTAATTCAAGATAAGAGGAGCTAGGATTACAGGCATGAGCCACCAGTGCCCTTCTTAGTGTGCTTATTCTTCACACTGTGTGTTCTTCTCTCTGTGAGTATCATGATTGAAATTGTTGCATATTCAATATCTTTGAGTGAAAAAAATTAGAAACCAGACATATCTTTCTACATCTATGCAGAGGTCAATACTTGAATTAATTTGACCAAAGACAATTATAGCTGAAGATTTTACTTCGCAGTTAGGAAAATAGCATTTAATAAGAAGAGTTCCTGGATTAAATATTGGCTCAAAAATGGGGCTCCGTTAGTTTTTGTATCTCATAAAAATGGTAATGCAACAATTAGCAGGGTCATATTATAAAGCACAGACTTTACTCTGGCTTAATGGATCTAAGGATAAGCATTTATCAGCAAGGAAGGATTTAGCATAAAATGACATGTAAATGAATTGATGACTGATCATAAATTAATTTTAGTGCTGGAGATGTAATAGAGACACAGCAAGATGCCACTTTATCATGGTATTTTATGCTCAGTAGCATGTGAGCAACAACTTAATGTCCTATGTGCAGCTCCTCCTTAACAGCTTGAATAAATTTGAGATTTTTTTTCTGCCTTTCAGCAATTTTAAACTTCAGGAATTTGGAAAGATTGAAAATGTGAACACAAATAAATTTGACTATGTGACATAAATTCATTTTTCATTAAATGTTTAAATGTGTATTGATTATGTCAAGAGCTGTAATGTGTCAAATGGATATGAATTGCTTGTAATTTGTATGTAATCTAGCTAAGCTGTTTGTACCTAGCAGGTATGAACTTTAATTTTCCTCTTTAAGCACACAAATGACTTACCTTTTAATTTAAGAATTAATATTTTTCTTTTCTTCCAAATCATAGTCTTACTCCTGTCTTTGGTAACTGTTTATCTAAATCTTCAGGTACATAAAGAGGAAAAATGATAGCCAAAGATGAAATCAGTAGCCATCATATAAATTTCTGAGAGGAATTCTAATATATTACTTTCATTAATAGATTATGGCTAAATAATTTGCAAAGTGTTCCTCACAAATGTACCTATTGCAGGTATCTTATCCCTAATTTAGTATACTTTGTTGAAGATATTCAAACATGATCTCTTTTCATGGTCTTGACCTCTTGTTGAAAGCAAAGGGGACACTAATTTTATTCTCTTTTACTTGGGGTCATTAGATATCTCATTGCCTAATATTGCCAAACCTACTGTCCAAATCTCTTTAAGTCTACTGTTATTTATCTAGTCTCTTTGGCCCTTTAAAAGGTATAAAAACAACTCACAAAAGATAGCTGATTACTGTTTCTGTACTGATCAACAGCTGCTTGAGGCCCTGACTTCCATGGGACTAGCTCTTTCCAGAAAGGTAAAAAAGCATCATGAAAAAAAATTGGATAAGCAAAGTTTTTAAGGACAGGACAAAAGCAATCAAAAGGGAGGGAAGTCAGAAGGACAGAGCAGAAAAGGTGGCTTGTTTAGGGTATAGCACGTGTATGTGAAGTTCTCATATAAAGGACTCACTATCATGAGACAAACAGGTTTTTGTTTATTTGTTTTGGCAGAACTTAAGCTAATTCTCTTTGGAGTTCTTCTAGCAAGGGATTTCTTTGGTGATATTGCTGTGAAGTGATTTGGTGGGGTACAGAGACTAATCAGTTTTAGAATACAAAGAACCAAACAGACTGAGAATATGACTTGACTGATATTAATGGAGTCTGAGAATTTGACAGAACAGAACCAAATCTAACTAAATGCATTAAAGTAGATGAATATGGAAAGATGTTACGTGTACCCACAAAAAATATAATTTGCCACAATATAAATCAAAGTATTCCAAATATTGATATTTTTAAGTGTATCAAAACATTATAAGATATATAACACACATAATTGTAATAGAATATTTATTGCACTACATAATGAAAGTTATGTTTGTTATTGTTATAATTTTTATTTTTATTTTTTTGTCAGTCGTGGAGCTTGAACTCTGGTCTTGGGTGCTGTCCCTGCACTCTTCAGCTCAAGGCAAGCGCTCTACTGCTTGAATCACAGTACCACTTCCATAATTTTTCCTTTCTTATTTTGGATTATATCAATGTTTTTCCCATTATCCAGACAATGAACAAAAACTTACTAACCTATTTCTTGTTTAATAAATCTTCTAGGAATGTTTATAAGGACATTTCTTTTATATATAACACAAGGTCATTCTTAAGAAAATTATACACCAAATAAAATCACACAAAGAATTACAGTAAATAATGGAAATATTAAATGGATTTGATTCAACGTAGTGACTATTGTACAATGAACCTGAAAATAAAAGTATGAAAAGGCATAAGAAATAGTTCTTAAATACAACTTCACATAATTTTATTGTTACAAAAGAAAACCAAAATATGCAACAAAGAGCAGGATAGGGAAAAAACACTAGTATGCATGATATTTAGATGACAAAGGAAAGATTGATTCTCTCTAACATAAAATTGAAAGTGAAGTTGATACAAGGCAGTAAAGAATAAACACTGGTAGAACAAACTGGTAGCCAGACAGAAATTTAAACAATGGTAGGTGACAGAGATGGTACACACAGAGACTGTATTGTATGTCTGACACAATGGATTTCAGTCAGTAACCTCAGGATTACTGAAGGGTTTCAGAAACCTGACTCTACTGGGCACCAGTGGCTTATACCTATAAACCTAGCTATTCAGGAGGCTGAGATGTAAGGATCACAGTTCAAAGCCAGTTTGGCCAAGAAAGTCCATGAGACTTTATCTCCAGTTAACCACCAGAAAACAAGATGTGGTGCTGTGGCTCAAGTGGTAGAGTGCTAGCCTTCAATAAAAGAGTTCAGGAACAGTGCCCAGGCCCAGAGTTCAAGCCCCAGTACTGACAAATAAGAAAGAGAAAGAGAAGAAGAAAAGAAAAAGAAACCTGATTTCACCCTTGTATGTAAACTATTAGTGAGCTAGATAATGCTTTAAACTGAGGATGGATGGATGGGAAGTGCTTCAGAAAGATCCTTTAGACAGGAACTAAGAGGGAGTCAGTTAGGAGTTTAGGGATGAAGCGGGAGGTGAAGAACAAAGAGATCATTTGAATTGGAGAGAGAGGACAGACATATAGACCAACAGATAAGAGTACCTGGGAGGAATTGGAAGTGAGCTTTGAAATATCTCACTACTCTCAGTTTGAGACTTCTATCTTTCTGTCCCCTCACTGAATGACTTTGATTTTTTTCTTCTTATCTACAGTAGCATTATATTGGCAGGCCTAGTACATGATTTCTTCTCTTGGTCCTTGACTTGGGATTATTAACTGGAAATGATCTCTCTCAGGAGGTTCAGTTGCTATGGCTATCTCAGCCTCCTTGAAGTGGCCTGTGTCAGGGGAATTTGTTTGGAAAGTAAAAAGTGTATCTGTGTGCTTTTGGCAAGGAAAACCAAAATGCTATCTTTCTCTGCTACACTTAATACCCTTTTAACTTCTCAGATCATTTTAACTCTGCCAGTTACTATTTTCCATGCCCTGAAAGTGCAGGAATCTGTGTTACTGTATCTTGGCACCTTGACAAGTGCTTCAGGATGAGACACTACTAACCACACTGTTATTGCTTATATATTGGAGAAAAGGAGAAATAATCTATAGCATTTTAATTTTCAGGTTTTCATGTAAATATATATTTGGTTTATTTAGAACATTTAATATCAATACTTGTTTGCTTATTTTCTAAGAAAGAATAATCATTACTTGGTAGTTTATTGTAACAATGAACTGCAGTTATTTTCCTCCATTTCTATACTAATTTTGCTGAAAAAAAAATCTACGATACTCTTAAGAAAGATGAATTTCTAACGATCAGTATTGGTGTTAAGAAAAGCAAACTGAAGTTCTTAAAATAATGGAAACCAAGGAATATGTAAGGATCATTGAAGCTCAGACAATTTTATAGAATATTGTCTTCATATTTTATTTAATACTGTTTATTTATTTTGTTCATAACTTTTTGTTACTTTATGAGTAATTTGTTATTCTAATATCTTGAAATAATCCCAGCTCTCTTATGGTATGTGACTACATACCTAATATAGAAATATTCTTGCAGATTGGGAGAGGGCGGGGAGGATTGGGTGGGGGGGACAGGGGGAGAAGGGGAAGGGATGGAAAGGGGAAATAAAGGAGGAGGCTACAATGCTTGATAAGAAATGTACTCATTATCTTGCCCATGTAATTGTAACCCCTCTGTACAGTATTTTCACAATAAAAAAAACAAATATTCTTGCAGATTAACAAGTCTAACATAGAAAGATTCTCATAGTATACTTTTTCATCAGCTGAGTCTAAGTACACTATAATCTGTATCAATAAACATTGATCTTTGATAATTGTAGAAACTTAAAATGTACATAGAAATTCTCTTGGCTAAATGGTTTTCTAATAATTTAGGATATGTAAGACTTGAATCACTCACAATGGTTGTCCATGTGCTAGGCACAGATAGAGATTGAGATGAGCTTCATTCTGCACTTAGAATGCTTCCATGAGTAATGATGATGTGATAAAAAGAATGCATGGTAACAGCTCTAAGAAGTGAGGAGTTGAGGCAGCCTACTTGCTCATGAGTACAGTGTGTACAAGTAGATGAGATATCTAATATATACAACTTACTAGACAACTACATTTGTTTTTAGGTTCAATGGTAAATGGATGGGGCTCTGCATCTGATGAGGACCGTAACTTTTCTAGTCATAGATCTAGCGTAGGTAGCTCCTCAGATGGTTCCATCTTTGCCAGCGGCAGCTTTGCACAAGCACTGGTGGCAGCAGCAGATAAGGCTGGTTTTAGGCTGGATGGAACCAGCCTTACAAGAACAGGTTGGTAGCCTCCAAGCAAACACTCTTTGCATGAGAGAATCTTGTGCTCTGGACACTCACTTTTAATCCTCCTCTTCTCTCTCCCCAGTGAGTCTACCTTCAGGGATTTCTTTAATATGCATGAATGTAGTTTGGATGTTCTGTTATCAGAACTCTACCTTTGGCACAGCTAAAACCACTTACCAACTTTTATCTTTCTATCCCTTTCTGTGTGTGGCTTTACGGGTTGATTGGAATATGCTAATACACTTGTGTATATATATATATTTATATTTATATATACATGTATTACATGAAAGCCACTTGTGTATATATATTTATATTTATATTTATATATACATGTATTACATGAAAGCCACTAGTGAGATTGCTATTAAATTTTCAGTGACTTATACTTTGCAAAATCCTCACACAATCAATAGTGATTAAGATGGTTCAGCTTTCATCTCCATTACTTTTCTTTGCCCCAGTCCTTTCTGCAAGTGCTTTTTCTGGGAAAGATTCCTCAGCATGGGGTGAGGGGGTCTAAGGCTGTTGATCTAACTGTTCAAATGGCTGATGATCTGGTTAATGGTTTGGCTAATATTTTAATACAGTAATTTATTATTTGTTTGAAAGGATGCTAATTAAAGATACACTTACTGCATTTGCAAGGTTGAATAAAATGCTGAATACATGTATATTATACCTTAGAGTAATTTAATTTTTTATTTCTTGGAGTAATAAGTAGTAATGTAAAAGGTGAATTATGTCATTTCTTCATGTGCTTCTCATTTCACAATAGAGAACCACAAAATTAACTCTAACAATGAATCCCTGATTTCTAAACCACTTGTTTTCCTAAAATGATAGCTTTGGCATGGTGCATGTTGTTATATTTCTATTGTGATTCTTATATCCACCTGTGAGTAAATAATCTAAAAACAAAACCACAGTTCCTTACAGAACAAAATAATAAAATACTGAATGCATTTAAAAACTAGAATAATGTTCAAATCGTAAAGAGTAATGATTTTGACCCTTTGCTAAACTCTCAGTTTATGAAAATGAGTGTTGGAAATTGTCTTTGAAATATAACATCTATATTTCTTGCATTAGCTATCTTAAAATAAAAAAAATTCTCAAGCATTGCAGAGGTTTATTTTTATATAGCATCCAAGCTAAAATATGTTGTAATATAACTGTTATTTGAATTTTCTTGCTTTATAAAGCATAAGTCAGAAACTGTATGTTGCCTGAGTGCTTTTTTGTGGCATCATCTATAAGCAGAGCAGTGAGAAAGTACAAGGAAACTAATAAATTAGAAGGCATAAGTGCATTTCTTGCATGTATGCTAATAGCTAATAAAACATTAAGCAATATCATGTCACATTGACTTAGGAAAATATAACTACATAGAAAAAATTGGTAGGAAATGAAAATATGCACAAGAGATTAAATACATGCACATAAACCAGCCACTCTTACCACAATAAACATTTTATTCCACTAATAAGTTGTTGAAATTTATTAGATAACCTTGCCCCAGAATGAATGTGTGTTTATATTCTATAGAAAGCTAGCATGTTTTAATTTTTCTATGAGAATTTGGATTCTGTTCAGATACAGATAATACTGACCAGATAATACTTCTTCCATTTTGGACTTACAAACTGATTTTTAACCTACTGTTCTACATTGATGTTGCTTAGCTTCTGACAAAAAAAAAAAAAGATGTAGAATTAATCATATGTGAAAATTAAGTAGTAAGGTCAATTTATCTGAGCAGATCTTTCATATCAGATTTCAAATGTAATTATTATCAGACTTTTTTCTGTGCTCAGAGTTTTCAAAATTCCATTGGTGAAATTTCATTAGACAAATTAAGTGTTATGCAATTCATTTCTGAAATAGTCTTATTGTTTTTGAGAAATAAATATTGCATTGATTTTTAAATACCTAAGATAGTAACACTACGATTGTCTAGATTAATAAGAATATAATCAAGGAGTACTGAGCTTTTGGTTGTGGATTTGTTTCATGTTTGTTTGAAAGAGTTTCCATGAGTGAAGTGTTCTTAACTTAAAACAAATTGACCAAGGTTTATGCAGCAAGACATATTAATTAATTAATATGGAGAAGCACCATTTAACAATTAATATGGAGAGGCACCAATAGTTAGTAACTTCATATGGCATTTCTAGGCAGCTCCCCAAATTAGTATTAGCAAGAACAGAAATATAAGACATCAGCGTATGATGATTTTCTTCACACCTCATTCCCTTTGTTTTCTTTTTAGGAAAAGCTTTGACCTCCTCTCAAAGGCCTCGACCCACCAGCCCATTTTCTACGGACAGTAACACCAGTGCAGCCCTGAATCAAAGTCAGAGACCTAGGCCCACTAAAAAACACAAGGGAGGGCGGACAGACCAACAGCCAGCATTGCCTCATCGAAGGGAAGGAATGACAGATGGTAGGTTTCTTTTCTTTTATTCTGTACCATTACATTAGGGGTTGCTATTTATTTCAATGTGTGAATTTTAGGAGTGTAGTCATTCATACTGTAAGAAAAGGTCAGTAAATGTGTTTTTCCTATTAAAATAAGATTGTAAATACTTTAGGTTTGGGGGAGCATATGGTCTCTCAATTGTGCTATTGTTGAAGAATACAGATCTAGGGAACAATTTTAGAAAAAAATTATATATAAACCATATATATGTGTGTGTATATGTATGTGTGTGTGTGTGTGTGTGTGTGTGTGTGTGTGTGTGTGTGTGTGTGTGGATGGTTTATTTCCAGTACCTCTTTATTGACACTTGGGCAGTGGCTGATTTTCTCTCTGAACCATAGTTTGTTCTTCTATGTCAATTCTTTTATCTCTAGCATCTAGTCTTTGAGTATATATTTAAACGATGATAAATGATATTAAGCAAAGCAAGCCAGGCCCAAAGAAACAAGCTCCATGGTTTTCCTCATTTGTAATAACTAGAATATGTCTAAGATATTCTTAGCAGTGGATCACAAACAGCTCAATAGCTATGAGCATATGACCATATAAAATAATTCTTATCTAAATGAACTCCACAAAATGGAAACAAGAGGTTTTTGTTTTTTGGGTTTTTTATTTGTTTTTAGTGTACTGTTTGCACTTTTTTCTTTTTTCTTTCTTTGTTTTCCTCTTTGGTTTATTCCCTCTTGTCACTACTTTTTATTTCTGCACCCTTTGTCTTTTATATAAGTTTATCTGATTTGGGGAAGGGATGGGAGAAATCACAGAAACAGTGGGACAAAGGGTATGAACCAAGGCAACAGTGATACTCACTAGACACTATGTTCGAAATGAACTTTACAACATGGAGGGGAAGTTGGAGAAAATGAAAAAGAGGCTATCACTGTTCAAAAAGAAATGTACTCCTTACTTATGTAACTGTAACCCCCCTGTACATCATCATTGCAATAACATTTTTTAAAAGAACTATTCAAATTTTTTTTAAAAAATGTTGGTTTCTGGAAATATTGAAAATGTCTGTGATCAACTATGAATATTTCATTTGTCCTACAAAACCTAGTTTATTTTTAATATTTTGAACTTAATTTTATAACATTTTTTAATTTTTAAAATTATGAATGTAATATACAGAAGGGTTACAGTCATATGTTAGGTAATGAGTACATTTCTTTTTTTAACAATGTTACACCCTCCCTCATTTTCTTCCAGTTTTTCCCCCTCTCAACTCTACTTTCCTCCAAGTTGTATAGTTCATTTCCAACATAGTCTCTAGTGAGTATCACTGCTGAATTGGCTCACCCTTTGTCCTGCAGTTTCTGTACTTCCCCTTCCCCTCCCCAGGTCAGATAAACTTATGTACAACAGAAATCAAAAACAGTGCTGGGAGCCAGTGGCTCACACCTGTAATCCTACCTCTTCAAGAGGTTGAGATCTGAAGATCACAGTTTAAAGCCAGCCCGGGCAGAAGTGAAACTCTTATTAATCTCCAATAAACCACCAGAAAACCGGAAGTGGTTCAAGTGGTAGAGCACTAGCTTGAGCTGAAAAGCTGAGGGACAGCGTCCAGGCCCAAAGTTCAAGCCCCATGACCAACAAAAAAAAAAAGAAAGAAAGAAAAAGAAAAAAAGAAAGAAAGAAATCTAAAACAGCGACAAAAGGGAATAAGCAAAAGAAAAAAAGAGGAAAAAATCCAACAAACAGTACAATAAATAATCCTCTTGTTTCCATTTCAAGTATGAATAGCATACTTATCCTGAAACTTTAGTCCAAGATTATGTACATTTTTTCAATGCCTATATAAGTCCCAACTGTAAATTTCTTCTACCTTTTCAGGACTATTTTATCTCCTTTAAGCACATAAACTTCTTCCTGATTGTTCTGTTAAATGTCCAAAGGCTAATGAATATAGCCAAGCTGAATGTTAGAATCATTTAGTGTCTTGAAATATATTCAGAAGATTCTGATTTAGGTGTTTTGAGGTGAAACTCAGTTGTGGGTAATTTAGTTGCTCTTGGGTGAAACTCAGTTATGGGTAACTGTAATGCATATTCCAGCTTAGGAAAGCTCTGAATTTGTCCTGAGCCATCAGACGTAGAAGTCTAGAAGTGCAGAATAGAGTAAAGCTTACTTGGAAAAGAAGAAAATCTCTGTCTTTTCTTTCTTTTCTTTTCTTTGGTCGGCAGTTAAACATGTTTGTTCCAAAAGTTTTCAGGTTTACTGATGTTTCGTACTTACTTTGTTTCCTTTTGGAAGTGTTTTTACAGAATATGAAGGTTATGGGTTCAATTTTTCATTTTCTATAAATGAATGTCCCATGGAGAACAATTATTCTGCCCGCTATGTTTCTTCCTTAGATGTACTGAAAATTAATTGTGCACACAAGGCAATTTACAGTGTACTTATTATCACTAAAAAATAGAATTGCCTTTCCCTGATACAGAAATACTGATATAATAATTAACCATTATTACTGCTCTAATATAGTGACAAGAAAACAATTAGCTATGTATTTCTTTTGTTTTTTTCCAGAAATATCTGAAAGCCATGACTAGTATTGGTGGCTATAACACCTAAACTAACAAAATAAGGACTCTTTTATTGTAATATTTTTTGTAAGTCTTTCCCCTATGTCCACATCAAGCAAATACACCCCCTTGTTGATAGCTTATTAATATGCTTCTCTTTCTAAAAATCAAATTGGACCCTAGATTTTCAAACATGCCAGCATTTAATGATTATATATTTTGTGTTATTAATAAATGCATTATACAAGTAGTGATATGGTGAAGAAAATTCAGATCAGATTTCTTCCCAAGTGTTTGATCCACAGATATTTTAATAATGACATAAAGGCAGTTATTTTGTATAATACTCCACAAAATATCCTCAAGAAGAGCATTTTACAGCAGTGCTATTATTCCATATTGGGATTAATTTTGTAGCATCTTCATGTAAAATAAAATGTTCTTAGTAACATTGTTACTGAGTAACATTTACCACATTAGACCACTTCACACTAATACTTTTACATTATTTTACAATAATGTTTTATGATTGTATTAATTAGGGTAATTATTGCTAGATGCTTTACCAAACAATCTCTAACCTTCAGTATCTTTGTATAATAAAACTTACTTTGTCAGGGTCATAATCTCTCAAGGTGAGGCAGCTTGTTCTCTAGTAAGGATTTAAGACTCTTTAGTTGAGGATACCATGATTTTCAAGATTTTACCTTTGTGGTTTCTGAGTAATGAGAAGACAAATGATCATTGGAGGTTCTAATAGCCAGTGATCATGTACCCTCTCACTTAGCATTGGTAGAGCTCTGATTGATGCTGTTAAACTTCTGAGGCAGGAAAACAATCTGTTTCCAGGAATAAAAATGAGGAAGAGTGTACACAGTGAGAATTCACCCTCTATCTCAAAGAGCATTCGATATTCATACGTAGTTAAGGAAGTATTTCTGTTTTTTCCCTTTTTTTTTTTGTTAATTGTGGGGCTTGAACCCTCAGGGCCTGGATGCTATCCCTGAGCTTTTCACTCAAGGCTAGCACTCTACCACATTGAGCCACAGTTCCACTTTGGAAGTACGTTTTTTTTCTTATCCTAAGCAGGTATTGCTTCATGTAAATCTATCCGTTTGTATAAAAGGTGTCAGAACTTATTATGTAGCCAATACACTGAAAAACGTTGTGCAAAAGAAGGTAGATCCCAGATTGAATGAGATGGTGCATTCTATAATTCCAGCTACTTAGGAGATGGAGAAAATTGCCATTTAAGCCAGCAAAAGAAAAAAGGTGGAAAGATCCCCTCTCAACAAAGAATATTTGTATAAGATTCAACAGTGCCACATGGTTCAGGCAGAAAAGTATTATTGGCAGAGAACAAACTGTTGGCATACTTGAGATGGAGGTGTGCAGAGACAGAGGGGGAGGAAATAGCAAGAGTAGTGGACTCCTGTAGAGACTGATTATATAGGGAAAGGTGGGAGGTGGGACCACAGCAGATATGGAAGTGATCTCATAGCCTGGGGAACTTCTGTCTGTCTGAGGTTCAGAAAATGACCTCAGCAAATGAGGAAGCGACTTCTGAGCCTGGGATCTTTTGCTGATTCAAAGTCAGGTGATTAGGTGATTGACAGGGGATTACTGGTTTCAGGCAGGTGAATAGGAAGTAAGGAGGGGCTGTTCTCCCCGGCAGACCTAACAATCTGTAAATGCTGATGTCTTCTGAGAGGATGGAAGAGAAATATTATGATCAGAGGCCAGCTTTGATGTGGATTTCTACATAATCCTAGGTGGAGAATAAGCTAAAGCAAAACGGACTGTGGTTGTGGATCAAGTGGTAGACCACTTACCTAGAAAGCATTCCTGAGTTGAAACCTATGGAATAAATAGAGCAATAAAACCAGAGAGAGAGAGAGAGAGAGAGAGAGAGAGAGAGAGAGAGAGAGAGAGAGAGAGAGAGAGAGAGAGGAGAGAGACAGAGAGAGCAAGAGAGAGAGAGAGAGAGAGAGAGGCAGATATAGACAGATTAATTCAGGTCCTTACCCATCAGAGTTTTCTTTAGAACACCTCCTTCCATCCTGTTCTTTCTTGCCCTAGTTCATAATATTTTCTTCAGAGAAAGGACTCTTCCTTAGCTATACCACATGTTAAATCTGAAATTTGAGGAAACAAGTATTAATTAACTTCTTTTCATATATATATATATATATATATATATATATATATATATATATTTAGCACATACTATGGAAAACAAGCACAATAGAAACCAAGTAGATGATATTCTTCTGCAGCTTTTATTGTGGGAGGAAAAAGAGATGAAGTTATCAAGATATATATGTAAAATAGTTACCATTGCCCTGGATTAAAAACAGACATAAAGGAAGTTGAGAAGCATATGGGTAAGGAGAATGTATGTTTAATAACGGTTTTAGAGAAAGCTTAACTAGCAAGGTAACATTTGAGAAAAGAGTAGGATAACATTAGAAGAAAACTTATACCCAAGGAAAAACATTATAGGAAATGAGAGCAGCAAGAAACATTCTCCACTTAGTTGATGAAAAGGATTTGGAATGATGTGACTGGAACAAACAGAAACAAATAAAACATGATGTCAGGCAAGCAAAAAGGGTCAATGTTATAGGACTTTTAATCTACCTTGATGACACTGACTTTGACAGTATTTTGAGTAGGAAACCTCTGGATGTGTATGTATGTGTGCAATGGTATGCATTTAAGACACAGGAGTGGTGTGATCTCATTTATGTTGAAAGCTCCCTCTAGCTTTTGTGTTTCAGTACACTAATAGGAGCAAAGGAATAAAAATGGAGATCATAGAATAGTAGAAAGAATTGACAATGGTGGTTCTTATGAAGAAGGGATTAGTAGAAGCAGGAAGAAAATACGTATTCTAGAGGTGAAGCTGTCAGGGCTAATGAGAGTAATGTAGGTTATTAAGCAACCTCAAGGTTATGTCATAGTTTTGGTGAACTTCTGAATGGGATTGCTACTAACTGAGAAGAGAAACAGTAGTGGTAGGAGAAGCATATTTTACACAGAATAACCTAGGGCTTAGTTTTGATATGAGGAAAATTTGAGAGCCTTTCCAACCACCCAAATGGAACTGCCCAGTAGACATTTGGCTCTACAGAGTCCATAGAAGGAAAGATCCAAGCTAGAGATACTTGAGTTCTTTATGGCTCTATATTCTTCTCTAAAATATGTAGGATAATACTATCGCGTATCTCATGGGATATGTCCCATAAGGTTAATCCTCAGTAGTAAGCTAATAAGATACTCTTTGGTGAATGGACTTGCTCAAAATGAAATCACCATGGAATTGAATAACAAATTTAATTTAAGTGAATGTATTTGATTACCTGCTTTTATTTTTTTCCACAATCATTTGTAATTCCATCTCTCTTTCCAATTTGTTTATTTCAATGTGCATGCAATGTCCTTTCCTCTTAGAAGTTAAACTCTCCAAGGATATTACTTAATTATGAAGCTGTATAAATTCAAGTCGAATTAAATAGTCATCAGAATTTAGCTGGCATAAGCAGATGCTGTTTGGGCCATTTTAGATATTAAGCTGTTCTGATGAAGACTACAAATCACTGGCAAGATATGTCAGTTTGGAAGCAAATATAATAGTTTTTCCTCACTGGTTATCTAGGTCCAATAATTCAGATAAAATAATTACTTTGCATTTATAATAATACACAGGGAAGGAAGCCAGTATCAAATATGAAGGAAATAACAAACTCATTGGATTATAAAAAAAAACAGATAATCTCCTTATGATATTAGCTCTTTATTTTGAGAGAAATGTTCTAACTTTATTCTACCAGACAGACACATGTTCTCTTCTTTTTCTCCTTGGTCATGGGGCTTGAACTCTGCGCCCGGGTGTTGTCCCTCGGCTCTTCAGCTCACACGGAGTGCTCTACCCCTTGAGCCATAGCACCACTTCCGGTTTTCTGGTGGTTTATCAGAGATAAGAGTCTCACAGACTTTCCTGCCCGGGCTGGCTTTGAACTGTGATCCTCAGATCTCAGCCTCCTGAGTAGCTAGGATTACAGGATTGAGCCATGGGTGCCCAGCTCCACGTTCTCTTCAATCATTAATAATTCATGATCTTAACTGAAGACATACTTAACTATAGATGCTGCTCCAGCATTGGACCACCCTACCCCATCCTGAGAGGGCACATTCAGAAGGTCACTATTACCAGTTGCATGTTGCTATCATTTTGCTCATAAGAAATTATGAAGCTTTTAAGAAAGTTCTTATAATAAGCAGCTTTGCCTTTCATTAAGGAAGCTATTTAATGCACAAAAATGTTATAATTTTCCCTTTTAATATGTAAATTGTAAATAGAATATTACTAGGAACAAGAACACAATGGTGTGGGAAATAATTGTGTATATTAATTCTATTAATGAAACAAATATATACCATATATGATAAGTAGGTCTTATAAATACATAATGTAATAGCTTTCTCTGAGGATGAATAAAGGAATTTGTAACAGCACTTTTGTAAAAAAGTATAGAGAAATTTCAAGTCTTCAATGAGCTAATCCAAAATTCATTTTTGAAGGAAATGTTATTTCATAATTGTTGAATTAAAAATATAAGGTTGATGATGTAAGGAACAAAAATGAAAAATGTAGATAATTGAATTTTTAATTTTTTTGCTTGTGATATTTTATTTATAAACATTCCTGAGATGTTATCTGTTCCACTGCATTTCAGATTTTTCTAATACACTGCTTACTGTGTAATGCCATAATACATATTCAATGTGCACACTGAACATTAGATATCACTTATTAAAATTACTACATTGGAAGATTATACTGTATTAGTTGTAACTCATTAGCTAACTCATGAAACGAATAGCCAAAATTGGTTGACATGGAAAATGTTAATTGTATTTATTAAATATTAGCTTAACCCTTTGACTGTTTCAAAATATGCCCCATACAGGGTAAAAGCAATCATTCGTTGCATATGATATGGCATGTAGCTCTTAATTTCCCAAGGGTGATATTCCTTGTGAAGATTGGCAAGAGAGCTTTGCTTCTTCCTAGGAAATTTTACTAGCACAGATGGTAGAATTTCTAGTGGTCTTATTTTTTATTATAATATTTCTATTTTGAAAAGGCAACATTAAGCAGTGGATTGAATATAAACTGTAATAAGATTCCCTTTCACCTTGAAGTTCAGCCCCAGTGTGCAATTGAAAACAATTTCCATGCTTAGCAGTTGAATAAGACCAGTCAATTTTATTTCAGTGATGATGAAATGAGAAGACAGTAGATAGATCAATAAACTGCATTTTAGATAGCCATGACTGACTTATTTTGTACAAACTTCTTATGCATGGGGATATTTGTAAGAGGGCAAGGTTCTTCTATTTTTCAGCTTGAACTAAAATCTGTATTTTTTAAATTAAATTTTAGTTCATTCTAAATATTATTCAAAATTTTTAGATCTTCCACCTCCACCAGATCCCCCACCAGGTCAGGGTTTAAGGCAACAAATAGGCCCGAACCAGCTCACTGGTAATGTGGAAAAGTCAACAGAGAGGAAAGGAAGTTCTCTAGAGAGACAACATGCATCCAACTTAGAAGACACAAAGAGCTCACTGGATTGTCCAGCTAAAACCTCCCTAGAGTGGCAGCGACAAACCCAAGAATGGATAAACTCCACAGAACGCCAAGAAGAGACACGGAAAGCCTCACACAAACCAGGTGTTGGATCAGGTGTGTTCTACACAGTCCCAAGAAAGGGTGGGCTGTTACCATTTTCCCCCTACCAGGTATTTTAAAAATAACATTGTTTAAGGGCATCTGAAATACATTTGCCTTAAATCATTAATTAAATTAGAATTTCTTCAACTAGGTTTACTATCACATATTTTAAGGATGATGCCATTAAAGATTGTTCCTAAAGTTAAGGTCTTTGAGCTTAAGAGACCTCCAAACTTCATCTACCATGCTCAGAAGACAATTTGAACTTTTATCTTCAGATTCTAATCATATTTTAAGACCACTACATTCTTCTCTTGTATCATTTTAATCCCTGTCTTCAGCCAGTTTGTTGACTGAAGTAACTTGTCATGATCAAGGGGAGTTCACTGCAGTCTAATAGATGAATTCATTAAAATTACCAGTTGCAAGCTGGGCACTGGTGGCTTACATCTGTCCTCCCAGATACTTAAGAAGCTGAGATCTGAGGAGCATTTTAAAGCCAGCCCAGGCAGAAAAGTCCATGAGACTCCTATCTTCAGTAAGCTACTCACAAAAAGCCAGAAGTGGCGCTGTGATTCAAGTGGTAAAGTGCTAGCCTTGAGTACAAAGTGGCTTCGCTGGGACAGCGCCCAGGCCCTAAGGTCAAGACCAAGGACTGGAAAAAAGAAACAATTTAAAACAATGATTAGTTGCAAGTAAATACCTATTCACAACATCCTCAGGATAGAAAAGACTGACTTGACTCAAACTTCCTTCAAATGAGTAAATATAGTTTATAGTTAACCTTGGGTAGAGAATGTTCTTGTTCTTGTAACAACCAAGCTTCTTAGAAATATCACATATAAATTTAACAATTTCTGCTTAAATATTATCTAGAGGTGGGGGATCTTGCTAGAGAAATGGGGTTTGGGGACTTTTCCCATTAGCATTTAATAAGAATCAATGCACACATGCATAGATACACACAATTTTCAAAGCTTTTCTTAGTCATTCAGATTTAATGTTATCTAGATATACTAAATCTGTCCTCTCCCCATGCTTTTTTGTTTCATCCAGAATTACATTTTGTAGTAATGTCGTATAATGTTTTGAAATATTTAATTTCTGCAGGGGCTAGAAGATGACAATTTCAATATTTGCATTTGGTAAACTATTTAGGAAAATTAAATTATGCAAGCTGTAAAAGACAAAATATGTCAACCCCATCATTACAGGAGAGAAATAGTCAATTCTCTTAGCTTTTAATTTTATTTTATGATCAGTTTAGTGAATAATAATTTAGACCTAGGAATAAAATAGAGGGTAACTGAAGAAGGAGGTGGGATATATAACACAAAATGCAGGAAAGAAGCGAAGGAAGGAGCTAAGGAAGGGAGGAGGGAAGGAGAGAGGGAGGGAAGAAATCAGGGAAGAAAAGGGAATCAAAATGAGAGAATGAAGTCTTTAAGTATTATTTGTAGTATATGTCAGGAGCCATTTGTAGAGATGGCAAGGCATTATATAAATAGAACATTAGCCATATCCATTAATATGTTTATCTTAATGAAGCACATCACCTTTCAAATAGCAAGTTTCCATCTTTCAAAAATTGCAAATTGGGGCTGGGAAGGTGGCTCAGTAGTAGAGTGCTTGCCTTGCATGCATGAGGCTCTGGGTTTGATTCCTTAGCACCACATAAGCAGAAAAAGCCAGAAGTGGCGCTGTGGATCTAGTGGTAGAGTACTAGCCTTGAGCTAAAGAACTGAGGGACAGCACCCAGGCCCAGAGTTCAGGACCCACAAAGGACCAAAAGAAAAAAAAAATCAGAATTTAAGAAGTTTATTTAAGTAACTAATATGTAGTCCTTTCTCTAAATTAATCATGAAAACATTGTATCATTTAAACTGAAACAAAATCATGTATGTGTGTTTTTCTATCTTAATGGGAAAATTAAATTGAAGACTCACTGGACTCTAGAAATGGTTCTCAGATATGTTTTGGGCTAAGCAAACTATGGTTCATTGTATACAAGCTCTCTTTTATAATGAGCTTAAATATGGCAATTAATATGTTCTATACTTACCCCAACATCTCTTTTAATTAAATACCACATTAAATTTTCTTATATGAAATGTTGCTTGCACATGGAAATTCTTTTCATATCCAGGTCTGATAAAATGTACTAATTTTAATGTTTCTGAAGAATGAAATAATAAAAGGGTCTGTTCTGAGCTTAATGTTTAAAGAATTCAGTTTGTGTTTTGCCACGATGTTACAGTTTAACTTAATCCTTTATGTTTTTTTTTTCTTTTTTAGAGGAGGCATTGGTGCCCTACAGCAAGCCTAGCTTCCCATCTCCAGGAGGCCACAGTTCATCTGGAACATCTTCTTCTAAAGGTTCCACTGGACCCCGAAAACCTGAAGTGTTGAGGGGTGGCCACCAGCGCAACGCCAGCGACATTCTTGACATAGGATATATGGGCTCAAACAGTCAAGGACAGTTTACAGGTGAATTATGTAAGTGTGTTAGGTCACTTAAAGGATTATCAGAACATCACTGATTCAGAAAGGCTATTCAGTTGAATACAGTGAAATATTGTATTTCTTTGGAATAATGGAACATTTGCTCTGCTGAGGCAACAAAACAAATAGTCCTTTGTGAAAACTTGCACCTAACTTACACAACTGCTTTCTAGAATAGTCATTGACTAATACTGCCTTGCTGCCACAACTTGACTTAGGCTGCATGAATTGTTTTCATATGGGTAGCCTACATTTGTCTTAGTCTTAGATTAAATATCTAGTCATTTCCTTGCTTTTGCTCTCTTTAACTAAAGTACAGTAAAGAAACACATCACATCTGTATTTGCCTCTAGGTGGTGTTGTTTTTGATTGTTTCAGTTGTGAGGTTAAATTTGTGTGAATGTGTACTAGTCCTGGGGCTTGAACACAGGGCCTGGGTTAGCACTTTTTGCTCAAGGCTGGTAGTCTATCACTTAGGCCATACCTCCACTCTGACTTTCCTTTGGTTAATTGGAGATAATAGTATCTCAGATTTGTCTGGCCTGGCTGGGATTTAACCCTGATACACAGATCTCAGCCTGCTGAGTAACTAGAATTACAGGCATGGTTTACTGGTCCCTAGCTAGGATTGAATTTTGACCTAGGACATACTAGACAAATATTGGATCAGTGAACTAAAGCCCCTACTTTTCTGGTAGCTTTAAAGAACTCTGGCAGAAATCCCTCTTGCTCTAGTTGCTCATTTATTTTTAAAATCTGAGAGTCAACTTTGAAAAGTTGATCTTTGATTTTAGTTGCTTTCCAATATGTTGATTGCAAATGACATATTTTATATACAATCATTCCATAATGATACATCATATTAATAAATTCATTTTTGAGTTGATTCCTAACCTTGGTATTGAGTATAACATATATTTTCTAAATATAGAATATTAGGTAATGAAGAAAGATGGGAAGTGTGAAACAAATCAGAATAAAGAAATTGAATCTTAGTTTAATTCTACCTGGAATATACTTATTCTCTATAATTATGGTCATGCTACAATTATGCTACATCATGATCACTTAATATATATGGCAGCTTCTTTGTATCCAGCTTAAGAACACTGGTGAGAGTATAGCCCCAGGTTCTAATGTTCACAACCTCTGCATTGATTATATACTGTGAGACAGTAATCTGCTCCCTCTTTTTAAACGGTAGAGCTAGGATTGATATCACAGACACTCAGAGCATTTTAATAAAAGACATAAAGAGAAAATATCCTTTAAATTATACAATTCTTTATGAGTCTGAATTATTAATGCCTATTACTAGCCTGGTTGGTATTAAGATTATTGTATAATTGTTAGTTTGATTCATGTGTTTTTAGATTTTTTTTCTCTAACTTTTGTTCTGAAATATTTGTAGATTCATGAAGAACACAAGGAATAGATCTAGTCTCTGACTTCAAATGTGCTTCTTTTTCTTTCTCTGTCACCTTTAAGTGAAATTATGCAAAATTTATCTGATGACTTTATGTTCATTTGCTATCTGACTGCTTTGAATTTGGTGAATATAAGCTCTAATTCTGATTTTTCCTATTTTATGCTTTTTAGAGTAACTGAGAGGAGACATTCAAAGCTGCTCTGAAGGACCATCAGGTCTGAACTCATGGAAGTGATGACAGTACACAGTGCAATGAACAATTTCTTTTATTTATGTACTAAGAGAACTGTAAATGCAATGTAAAGATACACAGCCACACATATCCCACAGATATTTGACTTGTGTTCTTCTCCTAAGTACACCACCCACCTTAACTCTTTCTTGTCAGGAGTATATCAAAAAGAAAGAAAAGAAAACTCGCTCTCCAGGATGAAAAGGATTTCCTCTGTATATAATTTCTTTTGTGCATTGCTATGCAAGCTCACTCTTTTTAGCTCTGTTCATATTATTGTCTGTTCTTATTGGTCTCTTGTACTATATGTGAATTAATAGGCTGTGGTGCCATATATTAACTTTTAATTGTGTAACTTTTTTGTTAAAATTTTGCACTGCAATTTTATTTGGTGATAAGCACAAATCTCTACTCCTCATGACATGAAGAAAAGATTGAATGTGAAGGGAGTTTCTGTACTGTAACCTAGGTTGGATGATGCTGGTGTAACCAATCATGTTAGATGGGTTTTGGTTGGGATTTAGAATAGGAAAATGCCAAGGAATGATAGTGTTGGCAAAGTGTGCTTGGAACACCAGGAAATGAGTCAAGTTGAAAACCAGAAAGATGGTTAAAAGTTGATAAAAATCAGGGGTCAAGAGAAGAAAATTTAAGTCTTTCAACTAAATATGCATTGAAATATGCAGGTAGCAAATGATGTACTAAACTTGCTTTTAAAAAAGATATTTAAATTTTATTTAGAAGCAACTTCACCCGTCATTGTAATTGACCCATCAGACAATTACAAGCAAATGGAAATTAAGGTGTTTCACAAGAGCTGTATTTATATTACAATTTTTTAAAAGAGCATTTTCTGAATTACCATAATTAATCTTTCCAACTCATTAAGTCAGAATATAACATGAAGTTCCCCCAAGGAAACAAATAAAATGAACTCTAGAGCATCTAGCAAATAGATAAAGAAGCAATTTATTATCAGGACATTCTCGAGCTGCTTTCAAATACGAACTCTATTGTAATGTCTCATTTCATCTTTCTAATACATGTGCAGTACATACTGGATGATAGAATGGCATCACACAAATTCAAACACTTTTAAAAACAATGCAGACTAAGTACAGTTCTGCATTGCCCCCTTGATTCAGAAGTGAAGTTGGTGCCACTGAATAGCCAAATCATCAATGTTTAGAAGCAGTGCTCAGAGTATATTCAGTTCACAGTAAGTAGATTATTAAAGACAAATAGTACTTTATGGTACATCCTCAGAAATTGGCTACCCAAATCTGTTTGACCCATCTTGACTTGAGTAAATTGAAAAGAAAAAAAAAAGGAGAAAAATGCATGTTTATACACTTTTTAAATAAAACCAAATCTTGTAAGTGGACATTAATTAACAGTGTCCTGCCTCATTTGTTTTGATGACTGTAAGACGTTCCTGAAGTTCTATGATGTAGGTATGCTTAAAAGAAGCATGACTTGAAATGTGTGTCAACTATTGTACATGTATCATCAGCCATGTAGAAGATATCTTTCCTGAAATTTCCGTATGCCACATCTACCCATGTGCTACTTATACAACTTCAAGTTCTACTTCTTCATGTATTTTTAAAAATAGCTTTTCTTATCACATGTTCAGTAATTGGTATTTTGAGAAATACTCAATGTGGTAAACAGGACTAGGTTTAAAATAGGGGACCCTTTGACTAACTGTTCATATGGCTATTGGCTTAGTCAGAATGACATTGTATTGTTATAACAAATGAAAGATTTAATTCAGCAGTTTCATCCTCTTTATCTCAGGAGGCCAAATCTGTACATCAAGTCTGGAATGTAAAGTTTATTATGGGCTCCAACACCTTTTCATGCCATGTAGTTTATTTCTTTATTAAAGACTAGCACTTGGAGGCAAAGGTCTAAGCCCTTTATGAACTTCCTACTATCAGTGACTATACATTAATGCAGTTTGATTTTACTAGGACAAAGGAACTGTGAAAACTGAAATGATTCTGCAAAACATGAATGCATAATTATTTACAAGTTGTTAGTTTTATGTTTATTTATGCAATTCCCCACTGTGCCTCCTTTGCTTTAAAAATAACCCTGCTATATTCCTCAGTTACTGAATTTAGCTTAGAACTTTTTATTACATATAGCCTTGACTTTTAATAACTGACATTTATAGATAATGAATAAATTGACTTCCAAAAGGTATCGCTATGAAGATGACATGTAGAATAACATGGGGCAAAACATCAGTCTTCTTCAATACATGAAAATGAATAGTTGTGTTATGCCAATATAGACTTTGTGGTGATTCAAAATGTTCTTTTTAGTAAAAGACTATGTTACCTATTAAATTCTGTTTTATATAAATTGATCATTCAATTTTTACAACCAGCACATTGATATGTAGACACCCCACATAGGTAACAGGCCATATTATCCTGCTTTGGCCATATAAATTTCAGAACATTACCAAACAAAATCAAAACATTTATCAGTTTGTGTTATGGAAAGAGCTACTCATAACTGTGTTAGAATCTCAATGGAAGAACACCAACCTATATGAGTGGCACCATAGTTTACATTTTGTATATGATTAAGTGAATAATTGGACATTTTCTTATAAGTACTGCACGCTAACCGATTGCGCCTCTGGAGCTCCTAATTGGACATTTTCTGAACTCACTCTTTTGCAGTTTCTCATACAGGCAAGGAAATCTGGGGTGGAAAGAATGTAATGTCACAGAAAGTGCTGTTTATAGTCATTCTAGACCCAAGCATAGCTTTATTCATATCATGCACAGTCCACTTGGGGACTCTGGGGATAATCCTATCAATGGCCCAAACTCAGGAAAGCCAGTGTATTTGGTAGAGTGAGCCTCCCTGCCTTCTTCCAAATCCCTCCTATGGGATTTTTAAACCTGACAGAATAGGCACATATATATATATATATATATATATATATATATATATATATATATATGTATTATATATATGAGACTCCTTTACAGCATTTGAATCCAATTCAAGGGAGAATATATAAGAAGAAACATGGAACATATTACACAACCAAAATAAAATAAAACCATTGCAGGTTTATTGCTTTTAATGTCAACATAGATTTACCATGTTCTTTGTCATAGTTAAAAATCTCTGGCCATTTACATATATTTTCAATGGGATTTGAGTTGAAAGTTTATGCTTTGGTGGAACACCTAAATTCTATTCAGTAAATTTATGTGATTGTCCCTTGCAAATAAAACACTAACCATGCCAATGGGCTTTATATTGTGAATTAGCTCCACTTAAAATTGATCATGTGTCAGTATTAAAGATATGCAAAATCATTACATTCACCAATGTTTGTTGGTTCATCGGCTGTATATGTGTTTATAGAATAACACGACAGAAATTGGTGCAAAGCAACATGTCTTTCCACATTATCTTAGAGGTGAAATTACTTTTACTTCACTTCTTCATAATGTGTACTATAAGTGAAACACCACACATTTTAAGTGACATGAAATTTAGAATTTTTAATCTCATATTCTCTAAAGCATTAATTGTGACTTTTCAATGTTGCAAGATAAGGGATTTTTTGTGGTCGTGGGTAGACTTTTTATACTTTGTTTTATAGATGGATTTTTTTAAAACAAAATTGTAGTTTGTTTAAATCACCAGTGTCCAAAATCTTTAATGTGTTTCATTTGATGTTGTTAGATGAGTAAAAAAATGGCATAAAACTGGTTAATAGTATTGTCAAAAATTGTGTATTGTGTACTCACTGGGAAAATAAAATAAAATATATTCACGTTTCAAATTTGTAAAAAAAAAAAAAAAAGCCATTTATGTAAACAAACTGCTTGTAGATAAGCTGAAGATAGACTATCTTGTAACTTTTAAATTTTTAGACTGGTATTTTGGGATTACATTCATGATTTCATTTTCTAACTCAATGGTGACTGGCACGTAATTTATAGGATTGACTTAAAGCAGTTCTTAAATAATACTGACGAGCCAGGTGAGGGTGGCTCCTGTTTATAATCCTAGCTACTCACTGTTTGAAACCAGCCCATGTAGGAAAAGTCCTTCAGACTACGATGTCCAGTTCACCATCAAAAAGCTGAAAGTGGAGCAGTAGCTCAAATTGTAAAGTGCTAGCCTTAATCGTAAAAACTCAGAGACAGCGTTCAGGCCCTGAGTTCAAGTGCTAGGACCAGCATAAAAAGAAAATAAACACTGCTGGGCGCCAGTGGCTCACACCTGTAATCCTAACCCAGGTGGCTGAGATCTGAGGATCATAGTTCAAAGCCAGCCTGGGCAAAAAACATCCTCGCGAGACTCATCTCCGATTAACCAATGAAAAACAAGCAGTAGTGTTGTAGTCAAAGAGGTAGAGCTAGAATTGAACCAAATAACTCAGGTACAGCGCCCAGGCTCTGAGTTCAAGCCCCATAACTAACAACAAATACAGCAAAAGAAAGAGAGAGAGGGAGGGAGGGAGGAAAGGACGGAAGGAGAGAGGAAGGAAGGAAGGAAGGAAAGGAAGGAAGGAAGGAAGGAAGGAAGGAAGGAAGGAAGGAAGGAAGGAAGGAAGGAAGGAAGGAAGGAAGGAAGGAAAGAAAAGATAGAGATGAAAAGTCTAGTTAATATTGGAAGTTATATCCCCCACTCTATCATCACTGTTGTCAACATCTTTGCCAAACTCCACTGTAATAACTTCTAAGTATAACTAATACTTTTTATCAACAGAACTGCTCTTATAAATGATTGAAAAAAAAAGTCAACATGAGAATTCGAAATGGTATGTTTAATTGCTTTAGAATATCTACTAACTATGCATATTGAGAAGTCACCACAAGGTAGAAAAGACAAATATCCAATCTTATTGTATTTCATAAATATTTCATGTTTCCCCTTTTAAATTACAATTATAGGACCTGATTTTGTCCAAAACTAAAAAGCAATAGTTTCCTATGTTCTACTAAGCAATAATCATGGTAAGTGTTAAAAAAAATAAAAAAGGAGAAAAGACAATTTTTTTCTCTGAAACATCCATTTAAAATTATTTTAAATTACATATGGTTCATGGATTGCATGTTTTAAATTAATTTAAATAAATAACACAAAATAAGATACTTTAAGAGTAATTATAACTAATGTTGCACTAATATAGTACAAAGGCAATATATATGTGATTCAAAGACAAAATATACTGATATGATAAATAGTAGAGCAATTACCAAACAGCCATTTCTTCATGAAATGGATTTGCACTGTAGAAATACACATTGCAAAAGTGTAAAATTATCACAAAAGATTATTACAGTAATAAATTATGTTCTCTTAATTATTGTATATATTAACTAGAAGAAATACATAACAATGTTTAAAATAACACTTATACAACTATAATATATAACGTGTTTAGAATTTCATTTCTCCTCCACAGAGAAAACAGCAGGGTTTATGTTAAACTTTAATTCACAACAGAAATGTGAAATAACATGATTCACTAACAGAAAATCAAGTTTAAAGAGTTCCCAGGGAAAGGCAAGTAAGACTTCCTAGGAGGGGAAGACAATATGTTGTCTCAAAAGATCTTTTACTTTGGTGACTTTAGGGCAACCATGAGTTTGGCCTTCCATCAAAAAAATTTAGTAAAATTTTTCTGATACCACAAACGGAATATAAACAGAATATAGCTATGTGTAATGTTTATATAGAACTACATAGATGACTGCCTTTGTATCTTCTAGACAATACATTTTCCTTTTGCAGTAATCAAGCTTCAAAGGAGAAAATAATTATACAGAGATGCATTCATCTCCATATAAGAATATATAATATATTTAAAACATTTGAGTAGATCTTACAAAATATCATGTCTACATTATATGTATGTTTTCTGTAGGTATTCAGATGAATATCTTACATGTTAATCAAAGAAAGTTGCATTTACATTTCAAATACAATGACCTTGAGCTAAGATCAATGTCCATTTCAAGCCACTGTCACTGCCCTGAGATCACACCACCATAGAACCCTTTGCCTAAAAATACACTATGACAGTTTCGGCATCCAGGAAGTCAAAACATTCTTTGACAATTTTATAAGTCACCCTTTTTCTATCACTAGTTTTTGATAAGTCTGTTTCTTTTTAAAATTTATTCATTCTCTTTGCCAGTAAGTATTGAGACATTATTTTTAAGTGAAATATTCAGATTACTTGAAAGAGTAATAACCTTTGTCTTCAAATAGATTAATATCTTCTTTTTTCAGCCAGATTTCTAGGAAATTCATTTGATGAATGATTTTATGCTAATGGAAAGAGTGAATAAACAAAGCTTTCAACTCTATTCCCAAACAATAAACTATATTAGCCCCATTCACACCTAAAATTCCTAACTTACTTCTGCTTTCTTTTTGAAGAATAGGCTATTGGATAATAATATATATATATATATATATATATATATATTAACATTAAAGAAATAAAGGAATAGAACCTCCATTGTTGACTATCTACAAAAATTTCTTAGAGTACATCACTCTATTGCTAATTTGTTCAACTAGTTTTACCGAAGTAGTAGAGCACATTTTGAAGAATATTTTCCCAAGAACAGTTACAACTAGTCTACATTAATGGCACTAACGATGTTGATTGAAAGCAATCATTTACTGTGAATTGTTAAAACAAATTTTGAGGTAGGACAACTCTCAGGTATTCTGAAAGGATGATGGAAAATATGTACAGTAAGGAAAAAAGTCATTACATTTAAAAAGTTAATTGTCATTAGAGATCTGCTATTTGGCATCAGGAAAGTAACATCAAGATCTTTACTGTGTCTTTCTGCAATTATTTTGCATATTCACAACTTTTTAAATTATGGAAATAACTAATTTTCTGTCACCATTTCTGTTCTACCTCCCACAAAAGGATAATTATATTTTAAAACCACTGTCTGATTACTACCAGACTGCCAAATGGAACTTTTCTAATGAGAATGAAAAACAGAAAATTTAGGATGAGGAGGCTTATCTCAGCAAACATATATATAGGTAACTCTCAGTGGGCTTCGAAATACTGTTAAGCAGTAATGACAAAATTTAGAATCCTCAGAACTTGATAAATAGAAAATAAATTGGGTATTTTTCCATGAATATCACTAGCAATGAGTACAAAGATGTCAGTATTATAATACGATAAATTAAATGGATTGGAGGACACAGGATTTATATGCAATTCATTAATTTTAAGCCTAATAAATTGACAGAGTCAAAATTTTTTAAATCATAGGAGAGTTGAGAATAATTTGAGAATAATTACTAATGGTTCTCCTAGCAAAAAGGTGGAACAGGCAAATGAAAGCAGCCTGGAAAATATGGCCCACACGAAAAGTGAGTCTTCAATCAACAGGATTGATTTATTTTTAATAAATGATTATTTAGCAAGTAACTACCCACCAAAAATTAAATACATATTTTTATCAATGTCAGTGAGGTTACATTACTAACAGAAATTCTCATCTACATGGTAAATGCCAAAATCAGTTAATTTCAAATAAATTCATGTAAATATTATTTAATATTCAAATTGGACTGTAAATATAATTCAATAGTTCAATGTTAGAACACTTGATTAAGGGCTGGGAAGGTGGCTCAGTGGTACAGCGCTTGCCTTGCCTGCCTGAGGCTCTGGGTTTGATTCCTCAGCACCACATAAGCAAAAAGAAAAAAACCAGAAGTGGTGCTGTGGCTCAAGTGGTAGAGCGCTAGCCTTGAGCTGAAGAGCTGAGGGACAGCACCCAGGCCTAGAGTTCAGGCCCCACAACCGGACCACCCCCCCACAAACAAACAAACAAAAAAAGAACACTAGCCTGGGAGAGGTGATGGTTTGTTCATCCCTACAACATAGAAAAAAATTTAATTTTAATTACAGATTTATTTAGGGAAATTCAATTATAAAGACAGTTTTGATTCATTCTGATGATGTTACAAATTAAAAGGTCATAATATAATAAATAATGTATTTTAAAATATGGACATCTACACACACACTCATACAAAAAAATTAGGTTTCTTTTGAATAATAAGAATCTAAATTAGGTTCTCATGGGGAAGACAAAGGACACCTCACAAAATCTATTCATAAAATAAGTCATCAGAGCTTGAACAATGGCCAATAAATCTCTCCTGGACAAATTTTATGTGTGTTTTTACATACACACACGTATACAAACGTCTCATATTTGTCATACACATGTACATGTACACATAAAGAAAGTGAGACTTTGTTAGTTGAGATGCCAAATTTTTTATTTACTTTATTTCTATTCACTGGTTTTCAATTTATTTGGTGGTAATGCGGTTAACAATGAGCACCGTCTTCTAGCTAGGCCATCACTCTACTTCTTGAGGTACAACCCCGTCTCCTTTTGCTATAACTATTTTTTTATTTGCATTTATTTTTTATTTTTATTTTTTGACAGTCCTGGAGCTTGAATTCAGAGCCTAGGCACTGTACCCGAGCTTCTTTTCCAGCACCATTTCCAGCTTTTTCTGTTTATGTGGTGCTAAGGAATGGAACCCAGGGCTTTGTGCATGCTAGGCAGGCACTCTACCACTAAGCCATATTCCCAGCCCCTGTAACTATTTTTTTAAATGGGGTCACTCATTTTTTCTCCATGCTGTCCTGGACTACAATCTTCTTAGTTATCCTTTCCACATAGCAGTGATGACAAGTGTGTGCCATTATACCCAGGTTTTTATTGCTTGAGATGGGGATTTATGAACATTTTCCAGACTGGTTTCAAACTGTGATCCTCCCATTCATAGAATCCCAAGTAATTAGGATACAAATTTGAGCCCATACATTGAATCCCACATAACTAAGGATACAAATTTGAGCCATTATGGCTTAGCTTGTTTAGAAATTAATGGAAAACTGGTGTATGCATAGTGTTATTCTTAGCACAGTCTAGCAAAGATTAGCCAATTACATCTGATATAATTGTAAACTAGTTGTGCTGATTAAAAAAAACAAAGTTGGAATGAACAATATAGTAGAAATAGAAAACGAAAAAAAACATGTAAGACAGAAAATGTTGCCAAACAAATGATTGGGAGTCATCAGGTGAGAGGAGTTGATGGCATATGGTCAGATGAGACTTCAGGGAGAAATAAAAGTGGACTTGACTTTAGATGGAAAAAAGTGATAGAAGATAAGCAATGTTGAAGGAAGAAGCAAAAACATGCATTAATAAAGGGCTTAGGTATTTAAGCCAACGTTTGAATTTGGTGCAATCTATTAAGACAAATATACATTTTGCTTCAGTGGAGGTAGGAAGTTAGTCATCCAACTCAGATTATAGGAGTGAAACATACATCCCAGATGGAACATCACTGTAGGGAATCTCTTTCTCCCAGCAAAAGATTTAATGTGGACTTCAGTGCAAAAGCATCATCAGATACCACTACATAATAAATACAAAGTAAATGTAGAATCATTAATGATAAATGAAATAGTCAATGGCACCGAATATTTCACAGAACAAAAAAAGGTGAATATAGCAGGAAGATATAGCGGGAAAAAATGTAAGTGGGATCAAAAGAGGTTGACTATGTGGTGGACTTCATAAAGATCTAAAGGAATATACATGAAGAGCCTGGTGTGTCCAAGTAACATGTTTTTTCTCTAGTCTCAGGAAGAAAGGACATTTCATCCTCAAAGAAGATTAGTGCTTTGGAAATAAGAAGAGTTGATTCTTCCCTCAACTTTAATACATTCAGTCTTGCTATACATGTGTAAAGAGTCAAAATAGAGAGAGGTATGAAAGTCTCAATTTGTAAACTAAATAAATAACCTCATTATAATGGAGCGTGAAAAATTCCCATTTAGAAAGTGTGTAGTTTCCTGTAAACAACAACAGGAAATACCAGACAAAAGCAGAATGAGACCAATTAGGATAAACACATTGCTAAATTGGTCAGCGTGACTTTCTACACATGTGCTGTGGATTGTAACTGTTCCAACACAGACCCCAGGGCTCAAATAGGAACTTGGTCAGGGAAAATTCAGAATAATACACAATGATGATGAGTCTGGCAACAATAACTTGCCTAAGGACCAATCTCACAAAAAGAGTATAAACAAAGCTATATCCTAGAAAAAGTAAATGAATAAAAACAGAGCTAATGATGTGAATAAAACTTAGTAGAGAAAAATGGAATTGATAGCAAACTTGGTGTTCCCTCCCTCTTATCTTGCTTTCCCCCAGGACCTTAATGAGTTGTTAATTATTTTTTATTAAAGACTAATAACAACAGAAATGCTCAGGAACATGAGAAATAATTAGGGTATAAGACTAAGTATAGCTAATTATGAAATGGCAAAATATAATTAATTATCCATTCCCTGAAAATGTCTCTTCTAAACAGACTCCACAGTTATAAAATGCAGAAGAATTTTAATTTTGTAATATGCCTACACATTCATCTACACGCACATATAAGATGCATACAAAGCTATTTCCAGACAATTAAATTTGTTATGAGATTTAGGAGCAATATTAACTCATGAACACAGTTTTACTGATTAGCTCTGTAGGCATAACCTATACCTGCTCAATATTTTATTTGGTATCTTTCCTTAGTGACAGCTTGTCAGCACAGATTCCAAGTTTTCTGTTTTTTAAATTTGATGCTATTAGAAATAGTTTTCTTTCAAAGACATTTATGTTTATTTTCAACCACTTGATGGGTTTTTTTTAGGTTCAAAGCCAGCCTGGGCAGAAAAGTCCATGAGACTCTTATATCCAGTTAACCACCAGGAAACTGGAAGTGGTGCTGTGGCTCAAGTGGTAGAGTGCTCACCTTGAGGTGAAGAGCTGAGGAACAGTGCCCAGGCTGAGTTCAAGCCCCATGACTGACCAAAAACAACAACAACAACAACAAATTATTGTAAAAGTAATGTACAGAGGGAATACAGTTATGTAAGTAAGGTAATGAGTACATTTCCTTTTGAATAGTGTCACCCCCTTCCTCATGCTCTCCAATTTTTTCCATCCTGACTTCCAACCACTTCCAAGTTGAATAGTTGTTTCCAGCATAATGTCTACTGGGATTCACTGTTGAGTTGATTCACCCTTTGTCCCACCATTTCTGCGCTTCCCTATCCCTCCCCAAATCAGATAAACTTATATACAACACAAAGGGTGCAGAAAAAAATAAATGACAGAAGGGAATAAACCAAAGAATAAAAAGGAAAGAAGGAAAAAATGCAAGAACCTCAGACAGTACAATAGAAATTTCATCTCTTGTTTTCATTATTTGGAGTTCGTTTTGATAAGCATCATATTATATGATCATATGCACAGATTTATTGAGCCCATGTGATTCTCTCCTAAGAATATTTAGACTCCCAGGCTACACTAAAGCCACCAGCACAATCATGTTCATTGCAATATTGTTTACCATAGCCAAGATATGGAATCCACCCAGATGCCCCTCAGTGGATGAATGAATAAGGAAAATGCAATATATATATATATATATATATATATAGAGAGAGAGAGAGAGAGAGAGAGAGAGAAAGAGAATGGAATTCTATATTCTATGCTTCCATCAGAAAGCATGACATTGCTGCATTCACAAGGAAATGGAAAGACCTGAAAAAAATCAAACGAAGTAAAGTAAGCCAGACCCAAAGAAACATACGCTGTATGTTTTCCCTTATTGTAATAATTGCAATGTGCCTATAAACTTACAAGTAAACTCAATGGATAGTAACAAATAATTACACCTGTACATGATTTATTAACCACTATTTGATGTTTTTGAGAAAGCATTTTTAAATAAAGATAATGGTTATTTTTTTAAGTGTGCATTTCTTTATATTGCCAAGTTCTGATACATGATTAATTGAAGGGCTGCTTAAATTGGAAAATATTGGGACCAACTAATTTATTTTTCTGTTACATTGAATACTCTTCTGACTTTTCTGACAAAAATATCCATTCTGCATTTTATTGAATAACCTAACAGCTTCAAGTCTAAATATAGAATGAGCATAATTTAGAATAATTAGAATCATTTAGTAATAGAAGCAATAAAGAACATTAAAATGTGTTGAAAAGCTAGTAAGTCATTAGTGGGTGAAGAGTGAATTTGGGGCTCAAATACACCCAAGGAGAACAAAGAATTATAAAGCATCATCTCAGTTCCTTTTTTATTATCTTTAAATAGGTGTACAAAGGAGTTGCCTTTCACCAAAGCAATTTGTTAATTCAGTTTATCTTGATCAAAGTCACCCCTTTGAACATTCTCACCTACCAGTCCCAACCCACCCCTTCCATTACTTATCATAATTTTACGTTATGTACTGATATTTTTCCATTCATCAAACAGTTTATGTGTACCAAGGATCTTTATCTGTGTCATCACTTCAACATCTCTATAATTTTACAGTGAATTCTTGCCCGCATTCCTCCCTTCCCCCTTCATCTTTTACCTTTCTCCTTTTGACTCCACCAACTCTGCTTCCAAGTATCCATTTCCTGTTACTTATTTTGTTGGGCTCTGACTTAGTCTTTTTAAATAAACATACTATTTGTTCTCTCCATAGTCTATTATACTTCAGTAAATTCATTTGTAACTCCTTGCTTCCCACCCAGTGTGTTTACTCGTAGATTTGTAGGCACATTCTAGCCACTGATGTAGTGAAAAAAGTGAGGATAAAATATAATGTTTGATTTGAGATCTATAAAATTAATAATGATTTTAAGATATAAGTGTAATTATTCTTTTTTATGGATAAGACTAAGACTTCCTTGCCAACTAACCAGCTGTTTCAGATTCTGTAACTCTACTTTTGCTGTTTTCTGAACAATGGGTCCCCTAACCAACCTGAGTCACCACCGCCCTTTGTTCTATTCTCCAGCCTCCGGCAAATTCTGATAAAACCCCTAGGCTGGAAAACCCATGGCAGAAAGTTTAAACTGAAGTCGGGAGTTTTGGGAACAGCATTGGCTTCATGAAGAAACAGCCTTCCTGCGTATGCTTGTATCCTCTCCCCTTCTCCCCGACCCAGGCAAAATTGCTTAAAAGCCAATGTGGATCCGAGCTCAAGGCCTTTCCCTGGGATCTCAACCTCAGGAGTCGTCCTGACGTGTCAGGGCTTTCTTGTTCAAATAAAATTTTGTTGTAACCACAACTCATCAATGGTTTTTGGGTCTCACTGTCTGCTAGTACTTGGATGCCACAACAGCCACAGAGAATAAGGGAAATCATGAAATGTATGTTTCTTTGGGTCCGGCTTACTTTGCTTAATATAATTTTTTTCCAATTTTGTTAACAAGTAGTACAATATTGTTTTTTCAGATGGATGAGAATTCCAGTGTGTGTGTGTGTGTGTGTGTGTGTGTGTGTGTGTGTGTGTGTGTGTGTGTGTGTGTAGTATCACATTTTCTTGATCCATTCATCCATTGAGGGGCATCTGAGCTGATTCCAAATCTTAGCTATGATAAATAATGCTGCAATGAACATGATTGTGCTGGATGCTTGAAGAATGAGTTTGGTAGTGATCTTTTCCTTTCTACTTCATTGAAGGGTTTGAGAAGTGTTGGTGTCAATTCTCCTTTGAAGGCCTCCTTACAGATTTCAGCTGTAAATACATGAGGTCCTGGGCTTGTCATGGAAGGGAGATGTTTTTCATTGCTATCTCAATTTCATTAATTAAGTCTATTTAATTGGTTTAAACCTTCTTAGTTTACTTTATCTGTGTTGTATAGGAATGTATCCATTTCTTTCTGATTCTCCAATTTATTGGCATAAAGGCCTGCAAAGTATTTCTTTATAATATTCTGAATTTTGCTTTTTTCTGTTTTGATATTCCCTTCTTCCTCTTTAATTTCAATTATTTGGGTATTCAAGTCAATATAAAAAATTGGAGACAATCATATTTATGTTGCTAAAAATCTCAAGTAAGTAAAGGCTTACCAGAAGATTTTTTGTGTAAATAAATGATAACTATGAACTTGGTACTATATTCTACCATGATTTTGTAAAAGCCAGAGGTATTTTTCAAATTACGCATTTAAAAGTGTAAATCTATACAAACTTATAGACTGAATTTCCAGGAATATCTTATCCAAGACAATTGTATTTGTATGTTTTTTAAAAATGATCACTAGAGCAATATATTTACCTAGTAAAGTTAACCGACTCAAGCAATATATACATGTAAGTCACAGAGTAAATATTTATATAGGTGATGTTCTTTGGTTCTTCAGCCAGAGAACATTCAGCATTTAGAAAATGCCTGAGTTCTGAGGGAAAAAAAAGATTTTCCCTTAAGTTTAAAATGTTTCCTGCATGTGCTAAAAAAAAATTCTTCCTGAGAAATTTAGCAAAAACTGTAGAATCTGTGGAGTCCACAGACCAAAGTCCTAAGCTCACCCAATATAGTCTTTATGAAAAAACAACTTTTCCCCTTGATGTGTGAATCTTAAATCTTTCCATTGAGATATTAGTAAGTGTGCCCACTGGTTTTTACATAGTTCTATAAAATTTCCCAGTTGAAGCAAGATAGAAAAGTAAAACACTGCCTTCTACAACTACAGCAAACGGGGAAAGCTGAATGAAATGAGGGAATGAAGTGCACATGTGTTTTTATTTGAGAAAGAATAACCCCATAGAGATTCAGAGGTTATCAGGGCAGCCGCTCCTGACACCTCCCCAAGGGTAGCTTTCTCCTTCCATTCTCCATTTTAGCAAAGCAAGCTGTATCACAAAGAAGCACATACAAAAGCCACCCTCACACCCCAAAAATCATGTGGTGGATTCATTCACCAAACAGGAGCAGTGCTACTATACAGTACTGTGGGGTAGATACCACTGCTCCAGTGAGACTGGAGGGCAGAACATAGAAGGTGAAATAATTATTCTCATGCCTTAAAATCCAATAGAATTTGTCTCACTAGATTTCAGAATGGTAGTGACCGTTCACCACCTCTTTTTTCTCTTAGCCAGATATCCATGCAATCATCAGGTTTTGGAAGCACATAGCATGCAGTTTCACAGTTTCACAGCAAGGGAGGAATTTTGCCTCAGGATGAGTCTCATACTTAGATGGTATTTTTGTTAATGAGACTTTAGACATTAGGCTTTGAGTTGATGCTGAAATGAGTATACGATGCTGTTAGTTTGAATAAATACATTTTGCTATAAGAAAGACATGTAATCTAAGTTATGACTTCCCTAAAGCCATATGTTGAAGCCCTAGGCTCCAATGTATTTTTTGAAGACAGAGCCTTTAAATGAGGTCATGTAGACTGAGTACCCATTTGGATCATTAGATAATAGTATAAAGAAAGAAGAAAAGATCTGATGATGTAGCTCAGTGACAGATTACCTACCTTGTATATGACCTTGTCTTAGTCAATTCCTAAATATCATAAGAAAATATAGAGAAAAAAATCTTTCATTATCCATGTTCACACATGGCCAAGTGGAAAGCATTAAAATAGCAAGTGTACAAGCAGGAGAAAGAGCTTCCCCATCCTCAGAAAATGCCTGTTGAAACCTGATTTAGAACTTCTTTTCTCCAATTTATTCCACTGTCATTGATATTTTTTTCTCCTTTTAGCCATTTAAGCTAAGTAAAGTAAGTATTTTTCTTTTTGTTTGTTTTAATTTTAGATAGTGGTCAGAGGGAGAAAAAGTTAATCTCCTCAACCTTAATACACACTATGTAGCTTTTGTCTTTTGTTTTTTTTTATAACAAAATCTGTTACCAGATGAGGTCAGAAGCTTGGGTTGGATGGTAGGAGGCAGCATGAATAAAATAATGTCTTGCCTTGGCATTACTATTCTCTCTTGTTCTGTAAGCCAGATGGCTAATGGTACTATTGCAGAATTCTCAGTGAAGACTCCTGTCATCATATGATCATTTGGCAGTAGCTTTTCTTCTCCACCACCAGTTGCCAGGGCAACTCATGTATTGATTACTGTCATTTTGCTTCTGTTAGCTCCCTTCACATTATCATTTGAGTTTGCTGAGATATATTTATATGAAGGCAATATGTATGGGTATTTCGTGTGACATATGAAGATATTCTTTTAGATATTTTAGATATTCTTACCCATGAATCTTTTTGTTTTTCCTGTGCAATTATAGGACAATTAATTCTTTTTTTTTTACTTTTATACATTTAAAGAAGCAAAGTTGGCCTGCATTGCGTTTATCAATGAATTTTCAAGTCACATGGCACCCTCATAGAAAGAACATGAATCATACATAAGAAATGATTCTTCTTTCTCAAACTATATAACTCTCATGCTGTAAGTCCTAGCTTTCAAGTAAAAGAGATGTTTTGTTTTGTGTAGAAACAAACCCACTTATATATTGCTTTGGTTTATATTAAAGTCTCTTCAAAAAACTCACAAAGTCAAATAAATTTCCAGGTCTGACACTATCACACAGTTCAGAGAATAATATCATTTATTCTCTCAGCCTCAAGAACTTGTCAAATAAATATTGGTCAAAGAACCACTATATCCCAGGTACTACACTGACAGAAAGAACAAAAACACCAGAAAAAAAAACAGCAAACATACAAACACAAAATTCAAGAAAACTAAAAGCTCCAAGTTCCAAAGAAGCTCACAACTTTTCCAAAATATCTGATGTATGGTGCATTGGTAACATTCACCTGGGACTTTACATACCGTATTGGTATGGGAGGTTGTATGGTCAATGGCCAGTGGTACAGGTGGAAAAAATACAAAGGGTTTCAGGCAGATAGATAGAGGACTCAGGGCCTATTATAGCATCTAGTTTTTCAAAGGGCCACAGAATCAGATTTGTGACACAATCTAAAGAGAATGAACAGGAATACACAATGGTGGCTTCATTTAGGAAACTAATGCAGTTTGTTTCTTTGGTGCTTTTGCAGGTTTGTTCTACTCTACATTTCTCTACCCAGAGCTGGACATCAGTCAGAAAGAATGAGTGATTATAGCAGGCAGAACAAAATACGCATCAGATTTTCCCAGTAGGCGATAAGTCACCAATAGAAGATAAAGCCTAGAGTATCCATACCACATATGTGGTGGCTTCAATATTTAAGAGGTGACTGACTGCCTTAACAGAAACTACTTAGCAACTATGGAGGGAAGTTAAACAGAAAAATGAATAATGATGCTGATAGAACAGGGTCTGAAATGGAACATACAAGTTATATATGCAATTGTAATTCACATATCTGATGCATGTGTGCTTATAGGACCCCACAGAGGATTCAACAAAAAGTTATGGTTGAGCATTTCTTTGATAGTAGAATAGAATGTTCACAGATGGGAAAATGGTTGGAATAAAAATTTTCATGGAGGGCTGGGAAGGTGGCTCAGTGGTATAGTGCTTGCCTTGCATGCATGAAGCTCTGGGTTCAATTCCTCAGCACCACATAATCAGAAAAGGCCGGAAGTGGTGCTGTGGCTCAAGTGGTAGAACACTAGCCTTGAGCAAGCCCAGTGTTCATGCCCCACAACTGACAAAAAAAATCATGGAGAAAAAAAAAATTCTCAGGGGATTCCTTAAATTCTCTCACAATAGATAAAGAGCTAGTCTGGGAGAATGTATCAGAAATACAATTTTTTGTGTGTGTGTGCTGGTACCAGAATTGAATTCAGTGTCTATGCCCAGTCTCTTAGTTTTTGTGCTCAAGGCTGGCACTCTAGTTTGAGCCATAGCTCCAAGCTTTTTTGGTGGAAAACTGTAGATAAGTGTTTCATGAACTTTCCTGACTGTGCTGGCTGCAAACTGCAATCTTCACATCTCAACTTCTTAAGTAGCAAAGATTACAGGTCTGAGCCACTAGCACCCAGAAACAAATACAATTTGATACCTAACAAAAGATTAAAAACAATCAGTAGTTTAACAAAAAGTTCATCTGTACAACATAATAATTAGGTTATTATTAGACATAGTTCAAAAGTTCAATTATGTTTCCTTTGGTTGCAAGGTGGCTGCCTCAACTCCAAATATTACACATATGCTTCAGTCAGAAGGAAGCAGAAACAGAAAATGTATGACAGTCACACTATTTTAGCTGCAAAGATAAGGTTTTACCAGAAAAATGCCATTCTCCAACGACTGCAGCTAGCTATCTGTGTAGTATTATTATCACATGCTCTTTTCAACCTCCTACCCATGCTCTACTTCCATAAGGATATGGCAAACATATTTAGCTGAGAAAATGGCTGTAGTAACTAAAAGAAAAAAGAAAAAAAGGGAAAGAACACAGAATTCTATTAGGAATAGAAGAATGGGTCAGTAGGGAATAGGGAGAAATTACACATGCAGATATGTATGTGGGAGGAAGAAGTACAGCCTAAAGTACAAACATAATCTGATTTTAAAGGCTTCTTTAGGTTGTAGGTCTGTAAGTTGTTTGTCTCTTGGTCTACAAAAGAAAGATCAATTTGTTTGCACGTTAATGATCTCTAAAATTCCTTGTCAATAATCCCTAACTTTTCATAGAATGTCCTTATTTGAACTTCAATTTTTATTTTCAGTCATAAGCTCTCTCCTTAGCCTGGTGCCTGTGGTTCACATTTGTAATACTATCTACTCGGGAGGCTGAGATCTGAAGATCATGGTATGAAGCCAGCTCCGGCAAGGAAAGTCTGTGAGATTCTTATCTCCAATTAATGAACAAAAAAAGAAAAAAAAGGGTTGAAAGTGGAGCTGTGACATAAGGGACACAGTGCTAGCAAAAAAGAACACAGAAACAGTGCCAAGACCCTGAGTTCAAGTCTCAAGATTAGTGAACGTGCGTACACACACACACACACACACACACACACACACACACACACACACACACACACACCACGTCCCTGTTGACATTCCTTGAAACTCAGTGAATCTAGAATGTCCAAGTGTCTCCCTCCCTCTTCACAGGCAGTGCTGGGACAACAGCACAATGATGACTACCTCAGAGGCAGATACTGCTTCAGCCAAGGTCTGCCATATATCCAGCACCAGGCAGCAGCAATGGGATGAGAAAAGAACCTGGAGGCAGGAAATCTTCCAGTCCTGAGTGTCAAAGATGGGCTTTGTGGCCTCGCATAACTCATTCTCTAGGCTCATGTCTTTGAGGATAAGTTGAAATAATAGGGTTGAACTGAAAATACAGAATCCCTGCTAGTTCTATGATTATTGGTTGATTTATTTCCATTGGCTCCTCCAAGCATACACATACACCACGGCTGTATTTTTCAAAGATTGATAGAATGACATTTAACGGGGAAAAAATTCAAGGGAAAAATTCCTTTTATTAGATATATGGATCTCTAACTTACCTAGATTTACAGTCTTTGTGCAAGTAATGATACAGCCATAAAGGAATCTATTAAACAACCTTCTTCCATTTAGAATGCTATACTTATATGAATTTAGTCTCTCTTATTTCATTGTCAAAAGTTTTGAAGTCTTAGATTATTGGGTAATTCCCTTATTTCTTTCAGCGTATAAGTCTGTTCATTAAAGCTTAGAGCAATGGCCTTCAAGTTCATACACAGTCACAAATATCTTTAAATGTCATTCAGGCGTGACTGTATGTACAAGAATGAGGAGGTTTTGCAACTGTGTTCAGGGAAGTAACAACCTGGCTGCCATTTATCATCAGTAAGCCCTTGATGATAGCCAATGTCAGCACTCAATCGGACACAAATGTCCTGCCAGGCTCTTGGCTAGTGTCTGGGCGCTGTTGATTTTTCTTCTGGGGCCATTTCCTTTGTTTCATTTGGGCAAATTAGTAACTTTAAAGAGGACACTTATTTCTGTTGTGGGTGTGATCAATCCACTTGTCAAACAAACTGATTCTGGAATTTTGGTGGTGAGGGGGAGGGGATGTCTTAGGTTCTAGGACCAAAGACAACAATGTTCAATGAAGAAGGAAATCCTTATTACTGTGAGTGTATAGCCTGCTCATGCAATAGAAAAGCTGTGACATTTTTCTAACATGATTGCATCTGTTTTTTTTGAAAGACAGACAACTAAAGTATCGCTAGAGATAATAGGATCTGGGACTGGAAAGCCTTCATATTCTATTAGGGATACATTGATTCCATTTCTTTAAGTCACTGGAGTGTTATTTCACATTATAGTGTCTGCATAACTACATTGCCTTTGTGTCTTAGTTCCTTTAAAATTCCCTGGCACATCAAGGCTAGTGAATGTCAGAAAGGATAACTATCAACATGTAATGACTTCCAACTATAGGAACATGTGCCTTGAAAATGCTTAAACGAGAAAGTCTTTCTGTATTAAGTGTGAGCCACGGAAGGACAAATTAACTCTAACCACGTGTTGTGTGTCAGATTTAATTTGAATTTTGACTGAGCAAACACATAGATATCCTTTTTATATGGTCACAGAGTGGATGTGTGTTCTTATGAATATTAGGACTATCTAGACCAAATGGAAGTCTGATAACTGACCTCACAGGGAGATTTCAGATAGCTATAAAGTTGATGTTAGGCAAAATGAACCCCAAGATAAGGACTCAAATGTTTTTTTTCTTTCTTGCTGTTGTTTCTAACATATTTCTAAGATGATTTCTTTGTTGCTTTGTATGTCCATCCCCCACAGTATAACCCCTGTTTTCACTGTATTTGATGTTGGTATCATTTGTGGAGAGGAAAGGAAAAAACAAATTGTACAGGTGGGCCCATTGCAACAATGAGATGTACAAGATGTTATGTAAAAAAATGAACTTTACAACTTTGGTTGAGGGGGTGGGATGGGTGGGCAGGGTTTGGTAAGAGGAAACAAAGGAGAAGGCAACAATGCTTGATAAGAAATGTATTCATTACCTTGCTCATGTAATTGTAACCCCTCTGTAGGGTATTTACACAATAAAAAAACATTAATTAAAAAAAAGAACTTGAAGAAGAATGCGATGTATCCTTCAATAACTATTTAGTGTACCCATAATTTTTTCTAGTGCCATGTTTATCTTCTGCCCAAAATGGAATAATTTAGGATTATACCAGGCATCCTCAGGCTGACCACTCACAAGGCTAATTGGGAATTTCATAGACCATAGCTGTCTGGAGAAGGTATTTTTCCCCTCCAGTGAGAATTTCCAGAGACTGAGGTAGAAACTAGGAGAGATTTTGTGATATAGCATCAGAAGTCAGACAGCATTACTTATATCAAAAATTACTACCAACAAAATCATTGAATCAGCCTAGACTCAAGGCAAGAGAATATTTGAAGGGCATGAATAGTTGAAATCTTTCCCGTTTGAGGTCTATAGAGAGAAAACTTGTTAACCGAGTGAAACACTAAATCTTACTACATGACAAACACTATTCTAATTCAGATGCTCCTGGACTTATCATAGGGTTTAGTCTGATAAGCCCATTGGAAATTGAAAGTACTCAAGAATTAACATTTTACATTCATTTACATGCATTCATATTTTATAACTCAATGCTCAATATGACTAAGCATTTCAGTTTTGCATAGTACCCTAAATATGGTCATAACACCTACATAAGAAAAATCTCCTAATATCAAATCTATTATAAAACACAGTTTTTCATGATAGGATACAAAAGGACAAATCAACAATAGCCAAAAATAGCTAGCTGCATAATGCACGAGGGAAGTACAATTTGCTTCTATTTGTGATTCTGTGGTATCTTAGAGGTGTGGCTCCCAGACCACTGCCAAGCATCACAAGATAGTTTCACACTCAGTATTGCTAGATCAGGAAAAGATCAAAATCCAAAATTCAGTGTGGAAGTTCATTTTCTGCTAAATGTGTATTGCTTTTACATCAGCACAAAGGAGAAAAGTTGTAAATCAAACCAACACAAGTAGGGGTACTGCAAATTTCATGTGGATTTTCTCTTTAATCTTTTAATCTTTATAATAATTCACTGAGAAGTGATGTTTTGAATTCAGATTAGTTGATTCATATATTTTCTGCACACAGCCACTCTGTAGCATAGTACAGTGGACAGAACTCTAAGAGGCCCTCCTGATCTCTGCCCCATGGTGTTCCTCCCTGGACTCTGTGATGTGACAAAGGGATTCTGTAGATTTAATTAAGGTTTCTAATTATTTGACCTCCATAGAGGGAGATTATCCAGGTAGGCATAACCTCATCACTCAGGCCTTTTAAATGCAGGGGATTTTCTCCAGTTAATAGGAGAAGAAAAAGTCAGAGAGATAAATGACAGATGAAGGATTCAAGTCATTCCTGGCTTCGAAGCTGAGGAGGTATGTGAAGGTTGTATAGAAGATTTTAGCAATTATGAGAAATTCAATAACACACAGAGGGAAAAAAGACTTTAGTTCTATGATCACAAGGAATTGTATTCTACCTGCAATCTAAATGAACTTCCAAGAAAAATTGTCCTGAATCTCAAAATTGTTCTTGGAATTTGGCTTGATGATATTTAAGAAAAAAAATCAGTTGATCCTACCAGGGAGTCTGGCTTATGAAGCTATGGGATAATAAGAGGCCTTGTGTCATCACTAAATGTAATTTTTGCCTAGTAATACAGTATTTATTTGGTGGAAGGGCCAGCCTCATTTACAAGCCCTTTTCAAAGGCTCACTTCATGATAATATCACAGCGGTAGCACCCAGTATTTTCAAGGGGACACACTAAAAACACAGTAACCTCCATTCTTTCTCATTCATATTTTCTTACCTTTGAACTTGTTTTTTAGTAAGTTATTTCTAATGAATTCAGTCACACAAATCCTTGTCTCAGAATTTGAATTAGGGGAATTTTATGTATTGAGTCAATAGACTTGGTCTTTTCATATTGACCATCCATGTGGGATGGAAACCTGAATGGGTCATTTACAAACTCGAGGTAATAAGAGTGCAATTACTGGTGGAAATTGGATGGAAATTCTTGGTACAATACTGAATAACAGCTGCCATAATCTACCTGTATAGTCAATTCGGATAGGTGAAGAAGGGAAGGGATATATCTATCAATTCAACTACTGCAGGGGAAATGGTGACTTTTAGAATTGTAGCAATGATTGCATTTTGTTGGGCACACTGATGTGCTAAGGATAAACAATGACAAACTCAGGTCAGTTGATGGCAAACTGAAAGCATGGTATGTAATGAAATAGCAACACAGAGGGGACTACACTGAGGAGCAGTCTAGAACTCAATGTGAATCCAATAATATTACAGGAATCCTTAACTCTTATCACAGGAAAAAGGTGTTGCCTGGAGCTAATTGAGTAGCTATTCCTGAATACATTGAAGTTAAGTTTGTCTCTAATCCTCTATGTTTGTAAAAATGTAGCAATATATTTTTCTCTGAGATTGCAGACATTTCTTTGCCTAACAATTATTTTAAACTCTCCTCTTAATATGCTTCTTGGTTAGAGCATCAGTAGCTAAGATCAAGTCTTAGGATGCTAACTAGAAAGTATTGAGTTAAGGTACAGTATGGATTACCAAATAAACTTTAGGATTTGGATATTGAATAGCAGCTGGGCCCAAGAAACCTTGACTAGGAATATATCTTGAGTATACTAGTTTAAGTATGCACAAAAATTGATTTACTAACTTATGCCAAACTACCTACCAAATAGTTACATTTCATAACAAGTCCTGACTATACTCCCTTAAGATACATTGTTAGGGAGAGAAGAAACAGAAAAAAGGAAAACTCAGGGATGAAATGATGACTGTACCCTTGATGCCAATAGTGATGATAGTAAATGTTCTGTGAACTGTAACACCTGATATTTTATGAGTCACAGGATAACAGAAAAGATGAGTCAAGATGACAGCATTTAAGCATCAGACCCAATATTACTGTACTTACCAATCCATATAGCATAGTTCAAATGCCAACGAGAGGGTTTTTAACCACAAGAATCTATAGTGATGGCTAACACAACCCAACATTCCACAGTGTACAACCAACAGGTATAGTAATATATAAGTAATATATAACTATACCAACAGGTATAGTAATATAGTAATATTATATAGAATAT